ACCACGCGTAATTTTACCTAAAGATATTGATAGTGGTCAGTATTGCTATGCAACAGTACATTTAACGTTCGAATCTGAAAAGGACGCCGAAGGACAAGATTTGATTCTTCAAGCACCATGCTTGTTACCACAATTATGTAATATTAAAAAAATTGAACTAAAAGACGATCGGTATTGGGAAATTATTTTTGAAAAAGATCATAATTGGCAACAACTTGACAATATGCTTAAAAAGTGCGAAACGTTAAGCGTTAAACAAAGAGCTGGTTGTTTACCATATATAGAAGATCCTCATGTACTTATCTTTTAATTTTTCATATTAAATTAATAATATATAAATATATTGAAATCTACTATTTTCTTTTCCTAATGTTTCAGGGTTTCAGAAGCTTAATTGCGCAATCACTAACAACGGAAAATGTTATTGCATGGGCGGCTCGTCCCGAATGTGTAACTTCATTTACAAATGATAAAACTATTTTAAATATAGTAAAATGTTTTTTGCAATGGCCCAAGAAAGATAAAATAAAAACTGAGATTAACTTAAAGACACAATCTTGTGGTAGCTTAGCTAAAAACAGTTCTGGATATCTATCTCAAAGTTTGAGTGACACATCTGAAAGACTAAGTAATAGTTGGAATGAACAATCAAATACTTCTAGTGAAAAAATGGAAATTGTAGAATTAATGTCTGCATCAAAAGATACAAATTATTTATACAAATATGAAAGACAATATTATGAAATGACAGAGTTTGAAAAACGGTTTTTACACACATTTGCTATAATTGTATACGAATGTGTAATAAAAGATAAAGTAAGTCTTCTTCCCTTGTGGGTCAGTTTAATAAAAAGTATGGAAATTATAGAAAAAGAACCAAACAGTTTTTCTATATGGCAAATAAAGTTAGTTTCATCACAAATGTTAAAAAAATCTTATGTAGAAAATAAAAATCCACTGCTTGGTATAGAAAGTATACTTGCAATTAAACAAAAAATTTCATATATCATGGATAGTTGGGAACATGGTAAGTATCATCTTTTTAGTATTAAATTTTTCTTAATTTTATATTTAATATCCAACTATTCATTTTATAGAATTAGCAACACATATTAAATCCTACTTAACAACTGGAAACATTGAAGAAAATATACCATTATTACAAAAAATGTGCACATATTTCGTATTTTATGACATTCCATATAAAATGGATTATCAGACAATCTGTAAGTTCAACTGTTTAATTACTATGATTATTATTGTTATTGTTATTATTACTGTTGTTGTTGTTGTTGTTGTTGTTATTATTATTATTATTATTATTATTATTATACTTGTTATTATTATCTTTAATATATTTTTAGTGACATTATTATCAAACAGAGAAGTAAAACCTAAAATACCTAATATAACACTGTACAAATTATATAAAATATTAAAATCAAGTTAACCATATGTATATAATGTATCTCTGTGAGTAATTAAAACTGATTTTTATAAGATATCTGAAAAAAATTGATAAAATGTTATGCATAAAATAAGTTTTGTCACATGAGATTTTTTTTGTAACATATTATATAATGCATAAAAAAATGTACAATTGATATTTATAAACAAAATATTATTAAGTTTACAATATAATTAATTTATTATTTTACACATTATAATAAATATTATTTACAGTATAAAATAATTTAAAATATAACTTTACATTTTTTATGTATATATGTATATAAAAATAGTATGTAATTTGTAAAGAATTTTAATACTCTTTTAATTATGCCCTTGGGAAATCAATTAACAAATAATAAATTAAATAAAAAAACTATGTAATAATTTTGTTTTAACATACTCAGGTATGTTCAAATACAAATTTTTTAAATTCTATAAATATGGGCTATTGGATATTAAGTATGTATATTTACAAATTTTTTAGGTGAAAATATTCTTAGAAAACCAAATTTTGAAATAATAAATTAGTAATAAATTAACATTTATTAAATAGTAAAATTTGTTGTTTATAATAGTTTCAATATAAAGTTCATCTAAATAGTGAACTGCGTCTTCTGTAAAATTGTTCTTCGTGTATAATAGGAGTACCAGTTATAATATATATTATATTATCAATCATTTCACCAATAGAAGTATAACAATATAAACAACCAATCATGATACCCCCAAAATGTCCTATAAATGAAGATTGTGGAACCAAAAGATGAATTAAAATTAGTTCAACCCAAACAGCAATTTTACTAGGAACCCTAAATCCTCCAACATCACGGATTTTATCATGTTCTTCACAAACTACAATTACTTTTAATGCAAACAAAACAGCAGAAAATCCAATAGCACATTGTGTATAATATCCATAATCGCTAGTTAACTGCATTAGAGCATAGCCTAACACTGTATACATAGCACTACACCCAAATGAAAGTATTGCTAGTAATATAATAAAATTTATTGTACCATACATAGGTTCTAAGTATGAGCCCTTCAAGATCAAAGATATCATATTATAATATAAATGCATATCAGAACCATGTTCAAAGTTCGACATTATGAAAGACTTCCAATCGTGGTATTTAAATATTTTTATTGCTGATATGCATACTTCTTCTGCATTCCAAGGAACTTTTATGAAACCAATATATAATAAAACCTATAAAATTGGATTTATATTATTAGAATATAATTATATTAATTTATTCATTTTATTTATGTAAGAATTAAATTATAATTTACTCACTTGTGCAATAATCGTAATTAAAGTAGCTGGTGGGATTTTATCAATACCAAAATTTAAAACTTGCATACATAGCAAATAAATGCCGTATTGCAAATTCTGTTGTCTTCTTTGAATAGGTCTCATAGTTATAAGCTACTTTAAGAAAAGGAAAAATATTTTTAAATACTGGAAAATCTCTTTCGTTTATAATCAAGATCTTGTGAACATCGTATGAATTCACATTTGAAGCACTTCATTACTTTCAAGGTATATAGGTTAGAACATATAAGAGCAAAATAAATAAAGATTTTACCATATAAATTATTTGCATTGTATCATATACCTTTTATGCTTCATAATTACCAATTATCATTTATTATCATCATAATCACTATAGTAAAATAAACTTATTACATCAGACATATCACTTTGACAGACGTAGTAGAACATTGGACCAATAAAAAAAAAACACGTTATTTGTATCACGCTTACTTATGCATATTCATCTAAGTATATACATATACATGAATTAACTAAATGTTTCATATCATGTATAATGTTTCATTTTTTCATATTACAAAATTGTCTTAACATTCGCTTAAATTTATTTTTGATGAAAGAATTACGAAATTTCAACATATCTTTCGCAATTTTATAAAATTTAAAAAACTTTTATTTATAAAATAAATATACAAATTACATGGAATTTTGCTATTAATTTTTGTGTTAAGTTATAAAATCAATAAATAGCAAGAAATAATTTTTGCATATTACAAATCACACAATAATGTGCATGATACATACATATACATATAACTGTACACGTACAATATGTATGTATACATATATATGTGTATGTATGTGTGGTGTACGCGCATATATAATTCGTTAGCCGCCTTTTTACAAATTAGTATCTAAATAAGTACTAAAACAAGTATTGTTAATAAATAGATTGTAAATAAGATTAGCAAAAAATGGTTTAGAAGACTCAGCTTGAAAAACCAGGATTTGTGTGTTCTATGATGCATCTACGACAGTAACGTTTTACTGCTCTGTATCCAACCCATGTAACCCTAGGGCATTCACCAATATTGAGCTGCCTCAATCCTCGTACATAATATGCTAATGCTTCTAGTCCAGCATCTGTGACACGCTCACAACCACATAAGGATAATTTTTTCAAATTTGGACATCCAGTAGAAAGGGCTTCAAGAGTTGCATCACCAATATCACATTTTCCTATATCAAGAGCTCTTAAACGTGGACATCCACGTGCCAAAGCTAACGTAGCACTATCACTCAGTGCTTCACAGCCACGAGCATTTAAATACCTCAATTTGTAACAGTGCCTAGCAACAACCAATAAACCAGCATCTGATACACGATCACATTTTCCCACTGAAAAATAACGCAAAGATGGACCAAGACGTGCTGCCAATTCACGTACTCCAAAATCTGTGATTTTTACACAATCAGAGACAGACAATTGACGTAAATTGCCACAATAGGAAGCAATTGCTATAAGACTGGCATCAGTTATACGTGCACACCGTCGTAAATATAAACAAGCAAGATGTGGCATGCGAGACAGTGTCAATACTAAGCCAGAATCTTCCACACCATGACAATCACTGAGATCTAATGATTGCAATTGTAACGTTGTTATTCGACTACATGCTCTTGTTACACAGACACATCCTGTTAAGTCCAATTCCTTCAGATGTATGCAATTATCTAAGATAGCTGTCACATTTGTGTCTGTAACACGTCGGGAATGTCGTAAAACTAACGAAGTTAAGCTTAAAAATGGTAACTGGGCAAAAATCCCAGCTAAACCAACAGCACCTTCAAGTATTAGACGACGAATATATGTGTGGCATCCTCGTCTAGTCAAGGCATTTAATGCAGCTGTTGCATTTTGGGGATAACGTATTTCTACTTCTTTCCAAAGGGATGGATGCCATGCTATTTCCCAAAGACGTCTGCAAGTTTGAGCAACAGAACAAAGATCTCTTGTACCCAGCCAACTAAATATCTTTAATAATAGAGTATCATCTAGTTGACACAAATCTGTGACATAAATGCATTTCTGTTGCAATAAGATTTGTTGTCTAATTGGAACTGATATAACAGCAGATGTTGAACGACAGGCATTATTGTCTAGTGTATGATATCCTAAGTCAATTGCATCTGATGTTGGTCTATATAGACCAACCTTTTGAGATGAATATGGAGTTTCTCTTTCAGAGCTCTCCTTTTCCCCAAAGGATGGAAGGAGAAGTGGACATGATCCATCCATTCCATGCTCTATTCTAAATTAAAAGAAAAATATAAATATATTTTAAAACTGTAATAGCATTCAATAAAAATTATTTTGCAGCTTCTTTACATTTAACGATTTTCATATTATCTTTTTAAGTTTATATTGTAGTAACACCTTTATTTTTAAATTAGTTTGCAAAAAGAATCGTAAGTAAGAAATAAAAATAAATTTTTAAAATTAAAAAAAATAGTTTTAGTTTAACACTTAAATTTCGCGGGTATGTCCATAGTTAATTAATTATTCTACTAAGTAAATTAAATAATATAAAATTTCGTACTGAACAAAGTTTAATAAATATTTACTTACTAGTGGGCGACAAATAGAAAAATCAGCAACAATACGTGACATTACGGAACAATATCGATCTATTTGGCACTGCCTCCATTTTGATCTTACATTCCAATTCTTGAAGCAGCTGGAGAACGTAACTGTTTCATATAATAAAGGTAAAACATATTAATATTTTCAGAAGTATTAATTAATATGTATACTTTATAATTACTTAAGTACATACTTAAAATTCAAAATTGCAATGAAAATATTAAATTTAAAATATGCTTATTTATAAGGTCCCAATACTGTCGATAAATCCCCACTTTTTAAATAGACCTTCTCAGGGTGATTTTCATCAATCAATTTTACAATCAAAAGTTTTTTTTAGTAGAAATTCAATATAAATCTCTATTATTTACAACTGATTAGTGTATAATTTTTGTTATATTTTTATCTAATTCTTTTTAAATAATTTGCAATACAAAACAAGATAAAGGTACATAAAATTATATAATAAAAAATAGAAATCGTATGATTAGTTTAATGCTTAAGAATTGTATATGAAATTTATATTATAATTTTTATATTACATATGTAACATAATTATAAAATTACATTGAAAGAAAATATAACATAATCTTTGGATATGTAGAATTTTAGTTGTAGAATTTTGTAAACTTGCCTTAAATATATTGCCTTAAATGTACATACGCATATGAATTGTTTGAGGTTACTTTTAATTCTTTTAAGTCACGTACCAATACGCTGTAAACAATGTTACAAATTTGAAATTAATATAATTATAACTGTTTTACAAAAATGGCTAATACTTTAGCCAATGTACCTGTGTCAAAAATTATAAAAAATAAAAGCAATTTCGAAGATGAACCTAAGAAAAAGAGTAGAGAAGACTGGCGGAAAGCAAAAGAATTGGAAGAAGCAAGGAAAGCTGGAACTGCGCCAGCTGCAGTAGATGAAGAAGGCAAAGATATTAATCCACACATTCCACAATATATTAGTGCAACACCATGGTATTTTGGAGCACAGGTATGCATTAATATTTTTATAAAATTCATATTTTTGTAATAATAAGATTGATGTTTATTACAATGGTATAATAATATTTTTAGGGACCTACTTTAAAACATCAAAGACCACAACCCGAAAAACAAAAAAAGTATAGTGGTATAGATGAATGGTATAAACGTGGTGTAGATTCATCTAAAGTAGTAACAAAGTATCGTAAAGGAGCATGTGAAAACTGTGGTGCAATAACTCATAAAAAAAAGGAATGTATGGAACGTCCACGTAAGATAGGTGCAAAGTACACAAATGCAAATATAGCACCGGATGAATTTACTCAACCAGAATTATCTACAGATTATGATGGTAAAAGAGACAGGTAAATTATCTGAAACTATTATTTATTCATTGCATGAACAAAGTACTTTATAATAATGTTATAAACATATTTGATTCATACAGGTGGGCTGGTTATGATCCTTCACAGCATAGAGCTATTGTTGAAGAATATCAAAAGATTGAAGAAGCAAAAAAACAGATGCGTGCAGAAAAATTAAATGCAGAAGAAAATGATGAACAAGATTCAGATAAAGATGAGGATAAATATGTCGACGAAGTTGATATGCCTGGAACAAAAGTTGATTCTAAACAACGTATTACTGTAAGAAATCTACGAATTAGAGAAGATACAGCAAAATATTTGAGAAATTTGGACCCAAATTCAGCATATTATGATCCTAAAACAAGATCTATGCGTGACAATCCTTATACTGGCACAGAAAGAGAGTATATATAAATTATTGTATAAATTTCTTAAGTTGTATCTAATTTAGAAAATACAAAAATTCATTATCTATATTTGATTACAGGGTGGATTACAAAGGTGAAAATTTTGCCCGTTTCTCAGGAGATACACAACGACATGCAAATGCTCAATTATTTGCATGGGAAGCACATGAAAGAGGTGTTGATGTTCATTTACTTGCTGAACCTACGAAATTAGAACTACTTAAACAGGAATATGATAAAAAGCGTGACGAACTAAAAGATAAAGCTCGTGAAAGTATAATTAATAGATATGGAGGTGAAGAACATCTTGACACTCTTCCACCTTCTCTTTTGTTAGCACAAACAGAACAATATGTTGAATATTCTAGATATGGAAAGGTATGTAAGTTTATATATTAGTAATATATTAAAGTTAATTAAATTATAATATTTGTATAATTTGTATTTATTTACAGATTATTAAAGGACAAGATAGACAAGTAATTCGATCAAAGTACGAAGAAGATGTATATCCAAATAATCATACTTCTGTTTGGGGATCCTATTGGCAAGCTGGTAAATGGGGATACAAATGCTGTCATTCATTTATAAAAAATTCATACTGTACGGGAAATGCAGGTAAAAAGGTAACCGAAGCAGTCACTATTGAAACCAAAAGAGTAATAAATGAAGAAGAGAAATGTGATGAAGAAAAAACAAATTTGTCTGATGAAATATCTGTGAGTAACAATAGTTCATCTGACGAAGAAGAAAAAATGTCAAAAACAATAAAATTCAAAACTTCAAAGAAAAGAGAAAAAAGGCACAAACAGAAAGAACAGCGGAAGAATAAGAAGAAAATCGCTAAATTGCAAGAACAAGATAAATTGCAACAAGCATTACAGAAAGAGGAAGAAAGACAAAAAGAAGCCGAAAGACTATTACAAATGAACGAAAGAAAACGTCCTTACAATAGCATGTATGAAATTAAAGAACCAACAGTAGATGAGATCGAAGCATTTCAGATGAAACGAAAACGTGAAGATGATCCCATGGCAGAATTTCTTAACAAATAATTCTTGTAATTATGAAATTTAAACACGTTACCATGAAGGGTATTACATTTAGTAGAATTGATTAGTATATTTAAGATGTAAGTAAAATATGTTTAATTTATTTTATATAAAAGTGTAATATAAAGAAAGTAATATGGATATCTTGTACATATTAATATATTTAATGAAATGTGAATCGATTTATTATATTAATTTGTAATTTAAGAAAAAAAGAGTATTAAAAAGTGAAACATTTTCAGGAAAATAAATATAAAATAAGAAGTAAGAGATTAATAATATATATAATTCATCTCTACACTAATAAAATATTTCAAGCAATTCATAAATTATACTGATTTTATCGTTAAGCGACTTAAATTATTTGTTCGTGATTCTTGGAAATTTCCATTAGATATCAGTGCAAAAGAAAACAAGGACGGTGTGTACATTCTAAATAAGACAGTGTTCAACTTTATCTACTGGTAGGAGAGATTGGGAAAGGAAATGTTTGTTTTGATAATTCAATTATTATATATATATATATATATATATTTTACTCTGCAATAATTTTAATATCCCTAAATTACCATATAATCATTTTTAATACGCAATAAAAAGTTTATTTTAACAGTTGAGAGTCAATAATTTAAATATGTAATGTGTAAAATTAAATATTAATGATTAAGCTATGCAAAAATAAAAAATTTGTTAAATGGTGAATATAACGTTAACTACATATTATTATGACAAAGAACATTTTTTTGCACATGAAAAAAATGCTGCGTGCCGGAAATAGAGGTCGCTTGGTTTTTTATTTTCAGCGGGAAACTTTTTACCGGAAACAACTTTTCGGCGGGACAGCTAAACGGAAATTGGTGTCGCCACACGAATACGCTACACGAGGTGCTAGAGTCGCGAATCTATAACATAAGTGACCAAGATATCTAGATATCGTATCTTTTGAGGGAAATATGTATATATGTTCACGTGTACGTATACTTACACGTCCATATATATATCTATATAGTCATACGTATATATATCACACCTAAGTGCTCTCTTGAACAAATTATGGCATTGTCTCTTATCAGGGGTAGGGGTCTGCAATACGGAAATTCGCAGTTACGTTTCTTATCAAGCATCTCGACCATGAAGGTAATTATAATATTATTTATTCGTTCTTTGAACAGTATTCATTGCTATTCTTTCATTAAATAGATAGTATATTCATATTTTTCGCAAAAAACTGTTAAAACGCAGAATTTTCATTTCGGTATTCAACTTCGTAGAAAGGAAAGAGGAGAAATACTTGATCAATATATACAAGTTATGAGTAGTTTTAATAAAGAGTATTAAAATTCTTGATAATAATCTTTTTTCCTTGTTTTTTCTCCTAAAAAATATTTTTTGAAAGAAACAAATTTATTTTGTGAGGCTATGATTCAACTATATGTATACTAGGCGTATTATTCATAGATTTCTATATTCGATATCTATTCCTGATATTTTAATTTGTAACAGAAAGGATTGGTGCTCGGTATATACGAAGCAGAAGATGAAAATAACATTTCATTGACTCCCACGGCGGCTAAATATGATGAACTAGTTAAAGGAAAACTGCAAAAAAATATTTTATTGTAAGTCCAAAATTGTTTTAGTAATTTATAACATATTTCGTATCGTAATTACATTTTTCTGTATCACGTATTTATCTAAAATCTGTGTTAATATTCTTTTTACTAAACATATTTTTTTTTCATATAATATATGAAACCAGATCATAGATGTGTGTCCATATTCAGGTATAAGTATCATATACCTTGAACATTGAACCGTTTTCCTTCAAATCAAGCAAGTACTTTATTAATTCAAGACAAACCAAATGTACATAGCAAATGACATTGATTTAAAGTAGGAATAAATTATAACACAAAGCATAGTTTTACATATTATTATTTTTATATTTTTGTTTTACATATCATATGGATTAACATTAATGAATATTTAAATGTTTTACTCATAGTTCCAGCCTGAAACAATTGTCATAATGCTGCCTGAGCTTTATAATATTCAGAATTGCTTTTCCTTTGTTATTTTAAAAATTTCACATAAAGTATTTTCTGTTAACAAAATTGAATTTGAATGAAATTTGTGTCCCATGAGCTCACTGGCATTATTTTCATTGTTTCAGGAGAGACTAGACTGAGAGACGGTATTGTACGCATGATATGAAGCAAAACTCGCTGCACAGAAGGAGTTACCAGACATATTTTATTATATAAAAAAATTTTAACAGTATATTATTTATAAGATAATTATTTCTATAGATTGGTTATTAATCAAGTAAAATTATCTATCTGAAGAACTAAAATGGAACTTTGAAAAATATGAAATTTAAAAAAACAGATTAAGATTACCAGATGTATTTTAAAATAATTAAATGTATTTCAAGAAATATTATTCAATTAAGAAGAAAGATGTCAGCTATCAATGATAGTAACTTGGGAAATGATAGCACTGCTGGAAGCAGTGGAGGTGTAGGTGAATGTAGTGGTAGAATAAGTAAACATCACTCTGCAAACGTTCTTCATAGGATTAGTGGTACACTTGAAAATAAAAATAACGATTATCTATGTCCTATTTGTTTTGAGGTAATTGATGAAGCTCATATCACACGTTGTGGTCATACATTTTGTTATCGTTGTATAGTAAAGTCTTTGGAAGCTAATGGTCGTTGTCCAAAGTGTGGCTACACATTAACTCAACAAGATATTTTTCCGAACTTTCTGTTACATGAATTGATATCAAAGTATAAAACTAGAATTAAAGGTCTTGCTGAATTAGGGTCTTCATATACAGCTGATGGTAGACATAAAGTAGCAGGTACAGATTTATCAGTACCACCATATGATGGATTAAGAGATATTATAGCAGCAGAAAGTGCTAATCTAACTTTACCCGATGTAAATGTAATGTTAGAAGTACTAACACAAAGAAAACATTTATTAGAAGCAGAAACATGTGCAGCACAAAATAAATTACTGCATGAGTTTCTAAAACATCTATTGCAGCAAAAAGAAGAACAAAAGAATCAGCTACAAAAGGAGATAGCTTTGATTAAAAGGGATATGGAAGAAGTTGAAAATATTTTGAGAGATGTTCAAAATAAATGTCCTAAGGTAGAAGATTTGAAGAAATCAAGTGAAAATGATACCGCACAAGTGTCAGCTATTAGAAAAGAAATGATTGGTCTTATAGACATAATAGATTCAAACATGGTAAAACCGAATGAAAAAGCAAGTGTTGTGGGAAGTGATACATTTATTAATCCTACAGGAAGTAAAAATGCTGTTGGATCTACTTTAGCTGTACGTAGGAAGAGGATGCATGCTCATTTTGATGATTTTGTTCAATGTTATTTTGACTCTCGTGCTAAGGAACTACACCTCGGGCATAAATCTCAAAGTCAAAGTGATTCATGGCAAGGCACTAACTCTGGACTTGATGTTTTTAGAGAAAATCTTGTCAAGTTTTCAAGATATAAATCATTAAATCTATTAGCGACATTGAATTATTCATCAGATATTTATAATAATTCCACTATTGTTTCAAGCATTGAATTTGATAAAGATAACGAATTCTTTGCAATAGCTGGAGTTACAAAACGTATAAAAGTATTTGATTATAGTGCTGTAATAAGAGACACTGTAGATATACATTATCCTTGTGTTGAAATGGTTTCTAGTTCCAAGATATCATGTGTTTCATGGAATTCTTTTCACAAAGGAATGCTAGCATCATCTGATTATGAAGGAACTGTAACAGTATGGGATGCTGCAACTTGTCAAAGAACTAAAACATTTCAAGAACATGAAAAGAGATGTTGGTCCGTTGATTTTAATGATGTAGACACTAAACTTATTGCATCAGGGTCAGATGATGCTAGAGTTAAATTATGGTCTTTAAACAATGATCATTCCGTTGCTTCCTTGGAAGCAAAAGCTAATGTATGTTGTGTAAAATTTAATCCACGTAGTTCATGCCATTTGGCATTTGGATCTGCAGATCATTGTGTTCATTATTATGATTTACGTAATATGAAAGAAGCACTCTGCATTTTTAAAGGTCATCATAAGGCTGTTTCATATGTTAAATTTATTAACAAAGAGGAAATAGTATCTGCAAGCACTGACTCACAATTAAAAATGTGGAATATCAATAATCCACATTGTCTGCGTTCATTTGTTGGACATGTTAACGAAAAGAATTTTATAGGTCTTACTACTGACGGTGATTATGTAGCATGTGGATCAGAAAATAATGCACTTTATGTATACTACAAAGGACTTTCAAAACAATTGTTCTCATATAAATTTGATACTGTTCGAAGTATATTAGAAATGCAAGAACGAAGAGAAGAAGATCTGAATGAATTTGTATCTGCAGTGTGCTGGAAACAAATGTCTAACGTTGTGGTAGCTGCAAATTCTCAAGGAACTATTAAAATATTAGAACTAGTTTAAAGTTAGTTATGAGTTCTACAATCATTAGTAAATATTGATATATATATATTTTGAAATTTATTCAATTAAGTGCTCAGATACAAACAACAACGAGATGTGAAAATTTATTCTAAATGTTATAGTAATTTGTTGTAAGCAAAATTAAAAAAGTAAAATGTCAAATATATTGACATCTAAATTATTAGGGACTGACATATTTGAGAAAATAATAATACTCTGAGTACCAAGCAACATAAATACTTTTTTGTCATTATATTTTTACTAAACATATGGGTATTGTTACTTATACTAGTTTCATTTAATTGTTTTCCAGTTTATATATATTTTAATAATAAACTGAATTTTAATAATTAATAATTTATATGTGTATATTAGTGATATACATTTGCATCTGATAATTTTGAATAGAGAAAATGGCCTTTTATAATACTATGTTAAATTTAGTTGAGTTCAATATATTAAAAGATGAATGTATTTGCACAGTAATTATTAGCACAATTTAAGTATAATAAAATATCTTTAGTAGGTAAATTTTATTATCATTATTATTATCATTGTATTATTATTATTATCCATATTTTTGTATTTCTTGTTTTGGCCATAATTAATTTTATATCGTAATAGTATTTGTTTATCTTAAATCATATTAATTGTTTAACATTTACATTATTACAGGTTTTTTAGATAAATATAATTTGTAAATGTTGAACAAAATATATAATTTCATTATTTTAAACAGCTTATTATAACATGAAAATATTTTTGTGATATGTAACAATATGTAAAAAGGAAAAATATTTTAAATTATCAACTCATAATGATTGTGACATAGGAGTGTAACTTTAATTACATAAGATGTGATCCATATAATAAATCTTGCCAAAGTAGCCTAATAGATAAAAATCAGAAATATATAAGTTGATATCACAAATAATATTAATATGGTCTATTCAATTCAATTTGTGCCAAGAACATCACATCAGCTAAATAGTAGTAAATGTGCTTGGATTGGATTAAGTTCCTATTATCAGTGTTACAATCACTGTCTTTATATATTAATATCAGAGCTAAGGAAAGATAAAGTTTAGAAAGAATAGTAAATTGTTAATATTTCTCAGCTTATTATATTATATATAAATAAATTAATTATAAATTGTTTTTAATTTGTTTAAAAATTAATAGCAATTATTAAATGGAATAATTTCATTGGAAAAAAGTAAAAAAAAAAAAAAAAAAAATACATTTACCACGTTCTATTGAATATTACTTTGCTTAGCTCTGAATATAGTTAATATATTTTAAGCAAATCAATTACACGTTTCTAAATATCAGTGTATCAATTTCTAATAATTTCTTTACAATTTACATAATATTTAAGCGAACAATGTTACAAATATGAAACCCCATGACAAATTTACATACTTAAATCTGTGTATATACATAAACAAGGAATCGAATTTTGGTAATAAGAACATTATACTGCATTATTATACCCAGAGATGATTCTTTACTATTGCAAATTCTCATTAATAACAAAATCCATTGGAAGTAATTGTCATGCCTACTGTTAATGGATTACAAGTAAAAATCAATTATCTTCATTATAAACCAGAGAGTATAGTTGTGAATTAATATGTAGTTTTAATTGTGAAAAGTAATTGTAATTTTAATCTAATTCATAATTAGCACAATTATTAGACATATTAATTAAAATAATTTTAATATATTCTAGGATATATGTAAAGCATAGTATATTTTTAGATTGTATTTTAAAATTGCAGATGCTACAGCATATGCTAATATATGTCCAAGATGCCTAGAATTATTGTAAAAAATAAATTTGTGAATTTGTGTCTCAGTATGCCCTTTAAGAAAATGTTTTAATTTCATATGAACATCTCCCTTACCTTAGCAATATATATTTTATTTGAAAAATAATTTTAAATAATGTTTTAAAACTTGTACTACAGAGCAGGTCCAAAAATTCCCAAAGGTCATGCTAGAATATTTTGGGGTTTGGATGAACTGGATTACGTGGGAGTTGCAGTTGTTGGTCTTGGAAAAAAGAATCTTGGCATTCATCAGCTTGAAGAAATACATGAGGGAAAAGAAAATATACGTATAGCTGCAGCAGGTAAATGCATTTTCTACAGAAGAGCAATATATGTTTAGAATAATGTAAATATTTTTTTACAACATATTTTTGTAATAACAATAATTTTATATTAGCTGGTTGCCGTGCTCTGGATGCAGTTGAAATAAAAGACATACATTTAGAAACATTAGGAGATGCAGAGGCTGCAGCAGAAGGAGCTGGATTATCAACATGGTTTTACCAAGGATTGAAAAATAAGGAAAAACAAAAAATACTACCAAAAGTGTCACTATATGGCCAAGAAGGAGAGTGAGTATTTTCTTTTTTATTTATCCATTCATATTACATTGGTGTAATAAAAACTATTTTCGTTTTTCTTTCTTTTTCTTTTTTTTCAAGGGAACAGTGGCGAATTGGAAGTATCAAGGCTCAAGCTCAAAATTGGGCACGTCATTTATCAGATACTCCAGCAAATCTAATGACACCGACAATATTTTCTACAGAAGTACATACAGTTCTCACTGAGTTAGGAATTACTGTACAAATTCACGATAATGAATGGGCAGAACAAAAAAAAATGGGTTCTTTTCTTAGTGTATCTCACGGTAGTTGTGAACCACCGAAGTTCGTTGAAATTCATTATAAAGGCGCTGATGATAATTCCCAGCCAATTGCTTTTGTTGGAAAAGGAGTTACTTTCGATGCTGGTGGTATCAGTCTCAAGGTAAAGGAATTGTAAATTTGAACATTCAGTATAAATAGCTTCGTACAAATATATATTTTTAGCCTCCAGCTGATATGGATGAAATGCGTGCTGATATGAGTGGTGCGGCATGTGTAGTAGCCGCTATTCGAGCTGCTGCTGAACTGAAACTAAAGTTGAATATCATTGGTTTGATACCGCTCACTGAAAATTTACCATCTGGAACTGCAACTAAACCAGGAGATGTCGTAGTTGCAATGAACGGAAAGAGTATCATTGTAGATAATACCGATGCAGAAGGTAGACTTATCCTTGCTGATGCACTTTGTTATGCTCAGGAATTTAATCCAAGGTAATTGTTATATAAATTAAAAAATATGTAAAAATAAATATTGTAGTACAGATATTCATTAAATATTCAATTATACAGTTTTATCTTGGATATTGCGACACTAACGGGTGCGATGAGAATTGCTTTAGGAGGAGCAGCAACTGGTGTTTTCACAAACGATAGTATATTGTTCGAAAAACTAAGAAATGCAGGCACACTTACTGGTGATAGAGTGTGGAGATTTCCGCTTTGGCAGCATTTTACAGACGAAATGACAAGTAAGAAAATAATTCACTAATATTTCAACAATATTCTTAACATTAAAAAATAGTAATATATCAAGTAATTTGGCGTTACTTGCAGAGAAAGTTAAATCTGCTGATGTGAGAAACGTTGCGAGAACCAAAGGTGGTGGTTCATGCACTGCAGCTGCTTTCTTACGCGAATTTATTTCGAACAATACACCGTGGTTACACTTAGATATTGCAGGAGTAATGGGACCTGGACCTGATAAGTTACCATATGTACCAGCGGGAATGGCAGGTCGTCCGACCCGCACGCTGATCCAATTTTTACAGGCATTGTGTTAAAATTTACAACTATTTTAAGTTGTATGGTGCAAGTTTATCTATTTTTATATATACGTATACATATGTGTATACATGCATGTATATATAAGTATATATAACTTTATTCTATATATATAAATATATGTGTATATATATATATTCTATATATTCTCTTTCTATAATATATATATA